ATATATATGAAACAAATCTAATAATAGTAATAGTAATAATAATAATTTAAAAATGGGTAGAAACCAAGAAAAAAACACTGAAAGTACAATTCTGATACTAAAAACAAATTCTTTTCAAAGACAAAAGAACTGGGCCCTGTTTGAGGTCTGGAGTAGCTACAAAAGATAGCAATTCTGCTAATTGGTTAAATATGCTCTAATGGTAGGTCAACATCTGGGCTACATAGAAAGGGTAAATGTCTTTAACTATGTTCACCAAATTGATCAAGCATTACCATCGGAAAGAGGACTTTCTCCGGTAATTCATCTATTCATCTAATTCATCTATTTGGTCAGCCTCTGCTTCCTTTTTATGAAGTGAAAGATTTTGCCTGGATAGTCATGGCAGCTGGCCATTGTTCTGATTTCTCTGCTAGCCAAAAGGCATGCTGGTTGTCTTAGGAAAGTCTTGTCTCTTCTTCTTTCCTCAAGCTTAGGATGACTAAACAACCAAAGGACCTGGGTTTTAAATCTCAGATCAAAGAAAGAAAGGAATCAACACTTGCCCATCTCGAATCAAGTGGTACTTCAGGATCTCATCTGTTTTGGATGTAGGGGTAGCAAAGCAACTCTCCACTAATGTCTCCAAGCCACTCACGTGCACCAAGGGTTCAATCCCAAAATACAAAGAGTCTCGGAGTTTAAGAGTGGGAAGGGTATCACGATAGGACTCTTCAAAATCTTTGTCTTTGAATATCTCGAGAGTGAACGGGAAGACACCTTGACTGTGCCCCATGATTTCCAGCGGAGAGTTCTTCATATTGGGGATATAGCCCTCTGAGATGGTGTAGTGGCGAGGGAATTCACAAGTTACAGGGATCAGCAGCTTTCCTGTGCGAACAATGATGTCCCCGTTACTGCCAGGTGTTTGCCTTGGCAAGCCAGTTACCATATTGGTAGCAATTATTTTATCATTTACTACCTGTAAACAGAGGGCAAAGATGATATGGTGAAGGTAGGTGGACAACATGAATAAAAGGATATGTCAGAAACAACATTATTGAAACCTGGACTGTGTAACCAATTGCAAGAGTACAAAAAATAGCAAATAGCCAAAAAGGGACCACAAGAACCAGAAACCATCCACCTAGGATTTTTCCAGTATTTGTCTCTTTTAAAAATACATTTCTAGCCCACGTATTTGAAGGGCTGTATGGAGTCTCTGCTAATAAGCTATGGATGACCAATAAGGTTTCTAGGGTTAATGAGCAGGGCTAGATACATTATGAGAATAAGGAAAATTAATAGTTCCCTTAGATTATCAAAATTCTGCTTAGACAATGACTTCTTAGAAAAGTAAAATACTCCAGAGTTTATTATTTTCATTAAAAATAGTTTACAATTAACTAAAAATGCCACTCTGAAGAGAAATTGGAATTCTGTTTGGGCTAACAGGATTATGCCATAACCACATAGCACAAAAGTAAGATTTTAGTGAGCTACAAAATTGATTGCAAAATTGATCAAGAAAGGCAAAAGAGAAGCATAATGAATATTCCCAGCCTATAATAATAAAAGGAGAAAACAAGACACTCCATCCTGGTTTCATTTAAATGGTTTCTACTTGCTGATCACCAAAGAACTGATACAATTGTGGGACCTGATAGGAGACAGCTATCTCTCACTGTCTCCTTACAGCAGTGTTTTTCAAACTTGGCAACTTTAAGCTGGGTGGACTTCAACTCCCAGAATTCCCCAGCATGCTGGCTGGGGAATTCTGGGAGTTGAAATCCACCCAGCTTAAAGTTGCCAAGTTTGAAAAACACTGCCCTAGAGAGACAGACAAAGGGTGTGTGTGTGTGTGTGTGTGTGCGTGTGTGTGTATGAAAAAAATCAGTTTTTTTTCATTAAAAAAACTATAAATAGATCAGTTTTGGCTGACAGCAAGGCTGCTGAATAGCGCTATCCTGAAATCAGTGGTGTGGAGTTGGAAGTGGGTGCTGTTTCAGATTCTCCTGTTGCCTGGATATTTTATGAAGAATTATAACAGCAGTAGTAATTATTTTTATATTTTTCACCTATTCAGTCTGCTCTTGCACATAACAAGAGAACAAACACTGACATTCTGAAGGCTTGGAGAAATCTCCTTTTCTAGGATTCCTTAGGATCTCACACAGTGGGCCTGGCATAAAAAACACTCTAAGTCTGTTCCATTGATGTACAGCTTTTTAAACAACGTCCTTCACACCATAGGAGAGAAGCAGGTTGAAATCAAAAGATTGGGAGGTTTTTTGCTCCACACAGTTGCTAGGCAATCTATATATAAAGCAGTTACTTAGGTCTGCACCTCAAGTGACAGATGTTTCCATATGTTTAAGTATGCTAAAGCCCCTATGGAAAATTCATAAAGAAGGAATAAAGTATAGTGGCTAAATTGGAGTGCAGAGTGCCAAGCTGACTCTTCACTTGAACATGGAACTCAATGGGCATCTTTGGGCCAGTTGCTCTTCCTTAGCCCATTCTATCTCAAAAGGTTATATTATGCCTATAAAGTGAGGAGGGATCCCCATGCACTCTGCCTTGAGATCTCAAGAGCAAAGATAGGATGGAAGTGCAAGAATAAATAAACAAATAAATAAAATCAATACATACATCTATAGTCGTTCCACAGGTTTTCAGAGAGAAGATGAGGTTGACATGAGTGCCATTGGATATTCCTTTGCAGGAGCCATTGGTAAGCGAGAGGTCCATCCCCCCAACGAGATCCTTGGGAATATTCACTTCTATAGAAGTAGATTTACATAAAACTGGAACTGGAAGAAGGAGCACAGCTAGTAAGTGAGCTGGAAGTTAAATGCACAGCCTTTCAAGGATGGTTAGAGAAGCAGGATGAGGTCCTTTTGAATGTCTGTCACTTCTGAATCAAATGTTTCCATGTTTTGGCCTAGGGAAATGACCCTTCGATCTGCCTGAATATAAATGGTAGGATGGCCATTGCTATAGAAAGCAATGGTATCTGGGTTATGCAATTTAAAATATACAGCAAAGGACTGAGAAGGCCTACTGTCACATGTCACAGTGTTATTGGACCACTGTATGACAGAGCAACCTTCTACATATTGATAGAAGTGTAATTTTGTCATTAACATTCAGGCTAACAAGTATTTTTCTTTTCTCCCCAGAAAACTGTGATGAGTTTTCACAACTTGTTTCCATCAATTAACTCATCACAAAAGAATGTGAACCTTGGGCTGTTTCAGGTATGACAGTCTCGAAGGTTTCTTGATATCTTCTCTGTGGGTTTGTAGTTGACCAGAAGTACTGGACAGCAGCTTCTACAATTCCCAAGCAACCAACCTGCTGACCTCTGCTTCCCGCCTAGGCAGGATGGTGTCAGAGATCTTCACTTACACCCCCTCCTGGCCCTCTGTCAGCAGTACTGTAATCCAGACAGCCTTCTGAGGCTCAGCAGCTCTAAAACCAGCCAGCCCAGCTTGTCAACACTTCAAGTGGAAATCTGAAGCTTATGATCCAGACGGAACAGAGATCCAGCCAGGTGCCTGCCAAACAAAAGACAGATCCCCTGTGGAGTGAGGCCATGCTTGCCTCAACTCTCAGTTCCAGTCAATCTCACTGTCCTCCAGTTCATCAGTCATCACACATCTGTAATAGCAGCAGTGCAGTGGCAATGCCAACTCCAGCTGCCACAACACTGCCACTGTTGGAATTAATAGAGGTGAATATGTGTAGCTCAGGGTTGAACTGTGGAATCCTTGGGGTTCTCTGAGCTTGGTTCTTTTCTTGCAATGAAACATTTGGAATGGAATGCAAAAGAGGGACTGGGGATCCCAAGCAGCTCACAGGTCACATGAACAAGATCCACAGATTTAGACCCAAAGAACTGAAAAGCACCAGGTGCTGCTCATTTATCAAGGAATTTGTTATATACCTTAATAAATGCGTGAAATCTGGGCTTAAATTTGCCAGGCAAATTTCTTAATAAATATAGAAATCTAGATCTCTTAATGGATCTAGTTGTTTCAGCTTGTATTAGAACAAGGAATAACAGAAACCTGTTACAGTGTAAAATACTCCTGTCCAAGACATCTGCCTTTTTCCAAGCACATTCAAAGAACTTCATTTGTGGTAAATATACTAGTTGATTCTAAGTCTAGCTCCACTTTTTTCATTTTTCTTCAAAGGAAGTCTCCAAGAAAATTGCATAACCTTCATGCTTCTCTCTCTCTCTCTCTTTCTCTCTCTCTTTCTC